AAATTCAGTGTATAACATGGATGCATAAATATCTGTTTTTATTTCAGTGTTAAATTCTGTTTATAGTAACAGATTATAATTAAAAATGTCTCCGGACCTTTACTGGTTGTTGATTTTCTTTATTCAGCCTCCATTGATTTATTTGTTACCACTGGTTTAGGTGAATCTCTCTTAAGCAAATTTAAAGATCTTGAAGTATTTTGTTGCATATATGCAGTCTGCTGTTCAGTATTCTCTCCTTTCTCTGCTGTTTTGCAGTACCAAGTTCACAGTGCAGGTAGAAGCATGGCTAACAGATGAGGAAGTGTTTCCTTATGATCAGGAATTGGTCTGACTTGGTCATCTGGTTGTAAATACTGCTAATAAATTTCTTCTGGACAAATAAATAGTTATTCTCAGTCAGACCGGATCTGCTGTTGCTCAGCATTTGTTCAACAATAAAATAAAAACAGGCCGAGGTTCTTAGAGCTGTGACACATGGCCCAGTCCGGTCTGCATAACAGAGTTATCACTCATAAGACTTTAATCCCAGAGGAAAATCAAATGTAACCAGCAGAACCCGTCGTCCTGTGGGGCGTTTGGGTCACTGTTTTAAATGCTCTCCACATTTTTTCCATTCAATCACTTTTTCTGACTTTTCTCTCTTTTCATTAGCCTGTTGAACTTTAGGTGTGGATGTTTCAAACAGTCCTGAGATGTTGGGCTGAGAGCGATTTTGACAAAACTCTCATAAAGACTCCATGTCTATGATCAGAGCAGAGGAACCCTCCTCAGAGAGGTAGAACATCCTCTCAGAAGAACAGAGGTCCGACTGCTTAAAGCTCAGGACAATCTACAGCACATATCATTTAAATCTGATGCATTTGTTTCCACTACCTCATTGTTCTCAAACAAAGCAGGTCATCATCTGATGCACTGGAGCAAAGAGCAAAGTAAAGCACAAACATTCACTGATGTCAGGAAACACCTTCAATTTTCTAAAAGTGGAATTAGAATCTAAAGCAACAACAAAGCAAAGCAACAATATTTTTCTCAGTGTTTCCCCAATAACTCATCCCTTCTCTGCAGAGCTCCCATTCAGCCCCATTCTTACAACACGTTTTGTTTTCTCACCGTTCTCCTGGATGAAAGGTTGATGCTCGGTCCTGTGTCGCCTTCGCTGCCTGCTCCACTCTACGCTACGTGCAGAATAAATGCAGGATTCATCATTTGTCTCCACCCAGCTGCTACAAGGAAGTCTTCCATCCACATTCCCCAGATATGAACCAGAGAGACACACCACAGGTGGAATTCACCTGTTCTACGTCACTGAGCACCATCACCAGCTGACAGGAGGATTAGGTTCACTTCAATTTATACTGCAGCTCCACATCTTTCATTTAGAGAAACTCTGAGGCAGTTCTGACAACAGAGTCACTAGTTTATTGTTCATTACTGAGCCTATGGTTACAGTGAGATTAGGTTGCTGGGAAATCTCAGAGCACTCCAGGAGACCTTTGAACCCACAATAAAGGGATTGTCTCTGAAGAGGAAGCAGGAGAGAAAATCAGACTTCCCAGAAGTGAGGCTTACACTTCACCCAGCAAACAGATGAACAGACATAGAGGAGTGAGACGTTTCCTGGACCGTCTCTGCTGGGTCAACCTGTTGCACTGGTAGGGCTGTATGGTTCAGACATGTCACCATTAATGACGAGGCTCCGCCCACCTCAGAGCATTCCTTAGAAAAGCAGCACAGCTGGTGTTCCATTCCCTGAGTGAGAACGGGGCTGGCAAAGCAAATCGCTGGAAACTATTCTTAAAAAGAACAGAAATGTCAGGATTATTTTCTATTTAACAAGATGAATCACATTTCAGCTGGAGCTGGAAAAACGCTTAACATTTCTTATAATTATGGTAAAGGACACTATAAGGACTGGGCCCAATTTTTATAAGCAAGGCCAGAGATGTTAAAAACAATTCCGATTTGACCCGACTCTGGGTTTATCCATTTATTTTGAGTTTATCCATATAAATAAAGGACAAACAAGCATTCATGCACACACACACACACACAACTAAAGAGAATTTAGAGAAGCCAATTAACCTAACAGTCATGTTTTTAGTCTGTGGGAGGAAGCCGGTACCCGGAGAGAACCCACACATGCACAAGGAGAACATGCAAACTCCAAGCAGAACCGAACCCGGAACCAGGCAGCAGATGCTACCCCGCTGCATCACTGAGCAGCCACCATTTATATGTTTTATCTCTAAATGATGCTTAAATTAAATAAAACTAATACTTCTCACTATTATCCTGACCCTACATATTGTTCTTTTGCATGACTTGAAATTCTAAAAAATATTCCTCAATCCCATAAATCAGTGACTAAACCATTAACTACTTGATTCCTGAGAGGTCATTTATTTTTGCCCTGCTTGTATAAAGTAACAATGAGGCTAACAGTGTGCAGATATAATCATTCAAAACCCAATTAAGGAGAATCATTAGGTTGTTTTTGTTTAATTATCATCTTTTCTAGGCTGTGTGTGTAACAATCATTACTATTTTTTCAGGACAGGATGCAAAAAAGTTGTCCCATGCTGTATTTTCTGTACATACCTTACACTTTTCCAGAAGGTGCATAATACCTTTAGAGATACATAAAAAGTAAGATTTTGGCTGACAGCATTAGATTTTATTTCCATTCCTCTGTGGTTCTGATGTGACCTATGAGGTATAATTGAGTATGGAGGTGTGAAGAGTATGGATTTTTTTGGAGTGGAACTGTAAAAAAATATGTGACAGTATTAACTGTCAATCATCTAAAAGTGAATAAAGTAATTGTGCTTAAAGCACGTCAATATTGGGGTGGAGGACCAGCAACAGACGCTGTATTTATCAGGGATTGTACGGAAGGGTGATCACACATTAGATGCACAAAGTAAAGAGAACTCCTGTATTTACTTCAACTGTAGTTTTTTTACCCTGTACTTACAGGGAGAATCCCTTTTTCAAAAGCCCTGCTTCATCCTGCCTCTGTGTGGTGATGCTAATACCACAGGTAAAGACTTATGCATCAGGGGGTGTGGTCCAAAGACTGTTATTGTTCAAAGCTGCTGTGGTAACAGGGGGAAGTCAGATCCCTCCCCTGATAAACTTGTCCTATACTTTTTTTAAATCACTTTCAATTGGCAGTGGATTAGAACAAAATATTAATTGCTGTGATGAGCTGTAGGGTTCTGAATAAAAAAAACGTTTTAAAATGTTCTGTCAGCTAGGGGGGTGAGGTTGCTTGTCGACCCAAATGCAGAGATGAGTTCTTGTTGGTTTAACGAGAAAAACTGAGGTAGACATCCAAAAATCTAAAATACAAAGAACGAAAAAAACAGAAAACATCAAGGAAAGCTAACGTAGAGATGAAGAAGCAACTAACAACAACAAGGAACCAGCGAACAGTGACTGAACATGAGGTGTATAAATGGAAGACTGAACAAAGACCAGGCTAATTGGCAGATTGGGAGCAGACGTAGACAGAGGAGTCTAGAAGGGAGCTAGGGAAAAAGACTGACACAAGAGGGCAGCAGAGGGCAAACAATGCCTAATTCAAATACAATAAAAAAAATAACTACAATAACACAAAATGGAAATCAAACCAATAAACTACAAATGAAATAAATCAAAGTATATCTGAAACCTCAAAAAAGAAAACTTAAGCATCATGACGGTGTAAGAAAACATTTATTA